ATATTTTTAAAACTCTTAATTTATATTCTTAAAATAAAATTAAAAAAAAAACTTATTATTAATTATTAATCACATTACATTTATTTTTTCTCAACACGGTCCAATCACACATAAGGTGTTGAAAAGAGAGTGACACAGAGGGTGTCACTCCTCTCTCTGAAATTTAACCGTCATGTAAGGTGAATTTAGGTTGAATTTCTATGGAATTTGACCCCCAAAGGACAAGCGGTAAAATTATTACACAACGATTTAGGTTGTCTGCCATGAATTATCCTCAATTAAAAGCATCACCCAATGAAAAGTTTCCACGTCATAAAGGAAAATCCTAAAATTACATTATTCTCCTCCAATTAACCCTAAAAAATGGAATTTTCTTTCCTTATTTTTTCCTCTTTGTATTTTCCCATGAAAGAGAAAAGCAGTCACATTGGAATTGGAGAGGGAAAAAGAAGAAGAAGCAGCTCTCTCTTACCCCAGAGCCCTCTTCCTCTAACTTAACCCAGAAAAATCCAGAAGGAAAAACAGGAAATTTCTTTGATTTTCCTCACTGATCAAAGGTCACTTCTTCTCTGTAGATCTGTGGGACACTCTCTTTTTTCCCTCTGTCCTGTGTTCTACTTACATGGATTTTTATAACTGGTAAGGTTCTGAATTCGATCAAAGTTTTTATTTTGGTTCAGTTTTGATTCAGGAAGTGGAAAAATGAAAGACCCATTTTTCTTTGGTTTTTTTTTTTACATGGATTTTCTTGTTTTCCCAATTTTTTTTTTTTTATTTGAGGAGTGTGCATGATCACATGTGGTGAAATTTTGTTCACGGGTTGGTGTTTCTGGGTTTCTTTTCTTTTTCTGTTTTAGCTAAATTTCTGTTGCTCTTTATCAGATCTTTTTGCTATTTTCTTTTTCTTATTTTCTGTTTTTGGGTTTATTTGGGCAGGAATGGCCGTTGATAAATTTGTTATCTGATCCTTTATACCTTATATAGTAAGTGTTAGATTTTTTTTTTATCTTTATATCTAACTAGTGTTTATGTATGTGCATGTTCTGCTCTTCTCTAGTTTTTTATACTTGTATTTTGTTTAATGGGTTGTTTGTTTAATGGGTTGTTTGTTTACCGGGAAAATTAAAGAGAAATTAGAGGAAAATCTTTTTTTTTTTTGTTCTTTGTAAGAAACTTGATTAGAGTCTCTTTGGGTTAGAACCATCATTTTCAATTTCTTGTCCTTTCCTTTATTATCTTGGTTGCTAAAGAGACCATTTTATTTTTCTTCTTTTACTAAACCTGTTTAATTTTCCGGAAAATTATGTCTGAAAGTCAAGAAAAAAACATTACTTGAGTCTGCCGCTTTTGTTTGCTGATCTAGCTCAGTGTGGGGCATCTATCAATTGCTTGAATCCTTTATTTGACAAGGGGGTTTTCTTGTTCATACCTGATAGTGTCTCAAACTATTTCTTTCTCTTTCTTACTTTGAACCTGGATATTCCCCATCCGGAATTTTGAGTTCTCATATTTACACAAACTGTTATGGTTATCCATATTTAACTCAGATCCGGAATTTTTTGGGTTTTCTTACAATTCCAATGAGTTTTTATGATGGATGAAAGTATTTTATTGGCCATTTTTTGTCTTTTGTTCATCATCCTGTTGTATCTTATATTTAGTATTTTGCAATTGGTTTTTCACCATAAGAAATTAATGTCTATCCACAGGTTGATTATAATGTGTACTATTCTGAATCTCAGCTGGATTCATGGCATGTGAAAGCATGTGATGTGGATCAGAGTGGTTAAAGCCAACATAGCCTTCAACACAATCCTTTATTTCTTTTGGAGATAGCTGATACCCCAGTGTGAATATGAATCACTTAACTGTAGAGACTGAAGATACTTTTGCAAGCTTGCTTGAGCTTGCTGCTAATAATGACATTGAGGATTTTAAACGATCCATTGAGCATGATCCTTCCTGTGTGGCTGAGGTAGGACTGTGGTATGGCCGGAAGAAGGGATCAAAACAGATGGTCAATGAGGAGAGGACCCCTTTGATGGTTGCTGCTACATATGGTAGTCTTGATGTTATCAAACTTATTCTCTCTTCATCAGATGCTGATGTCAATTACTTTTGTGGCCAAGACAAAAGCACTGCTCTTCACTGTGCTTCTTCTGGTGGGGCTGAGAATGCTGTGGATGTTGTGAAGCTGCTTTTAGCAGCAGGTGCTGATCCAAACTTGAGAGATACAAATGGTCATCGTCCAGTTGATGTTATTGTTGTTCCTCCAAAGCTTCAAGCTTTAAAATTAACTCTTGAAGAGCTTCTTGAAACTGAGAGTTCTATTCGTGAGCGCAATCTAAGGGTTTTGACAGTGACTTCAATTTCAAACTCTCCACCTGTTTCACCTCGAGAGAATGGATCCCCGTCATCTGCTTCAGGCTCCCCTCTGAAATCAAAGTTAAATGATGCCCCAGTTTTCTCCACATCAGAGAAGAAAGAATACCCTGTTGACCCATCTCTTCCAGACATCAAGAATAGCATCTACTCAACTGATGAGTTCCGGATGTATTCCTTCAAGGTGCGCCCCTGTTCGCGTGCTTACTCCCATGATTGGACAGAGTGTCCATTTGTTCATCCAGGTGAAAATGCTCGAAGAAGGGATCCCAGGAAGTACCATTATAGTTGTGTTCCATGCCCTGATTTTCGCAAAGGAGCTTGTAGGCGTGGGGATATGTGTGAATATGCTCATGGTGTGTTTGAATGCTGGCTACACCCTGCTCAGTACCGAACCCGACTGTGCAAAGATGGTACTAGTTGTGCAAGGAGAGTTTGCTTCTTTGCCCATACTGCTGAGGAATTGCGGCCTCTTTATGTTTCAACTGGTTCTGCAGTTCCATCTCCTCGTTCAAGTACCTCTGCTGGTACTGCCATCGATTTTGCTGCCTTAAGTCTTTTACCTGGATCACCATCATCAGTATCAGTTATGTCTCCATCACCATTTGCGCCACCCATGTCACCTTCAGCCAATGGTATGTCACCCTCTAATATGGGCTGGCCACAACCTAATGTACCAACCTTGCATCTTCCTGGAAGCAGTCTTCAGTCTAGCCGGCTGAGATCCTCTCTTAATGCAAGAGACATTCCGGTGGAAGACTACAATTTGTTGCCAGATTTTGATGTGCAGCAACAGCAGCTTCTAAATGAGTTTTCTAGCCTCAATCAGCCTTCTATTAGTTCTAATTCTTTGAACAGATCTGGTCGATTCAAGACCCTGACCCCATCAAATCTTGATGATCTCTTTTCTGCTGAGAACTTGTCTCCTCGATTCTCTGATCAAGCATTAGCTTCAGCTGTTTTCTCCCCAACCCATAAGTCTGCTGTTCTCAACCAATTTCAGCAGCAGCAGAGCTTGTTATCACCTATTAATACACATTTCTCTCCCAAAAATGTTGAAAACCCTTTGTTGCAGGCCTCTCTAGGGGTGCCATCATCTGGTAGGATGTCCCCCCGAACTGTGGAGCCTATCTCACCAATGAGCTCTCGGGTGTCCATGTTAGCTCAATGTGAAAAGCAACAGCAATTTCGTAGCCTGTCCTCTCGGGAACTTGGCTCTGGCTCTAATGCGCTTGTTGGTTCTGCAGTTAACTCTTGGTCAAAATGGGGATTATCTAATGGGAAGCCAGACTGGGCTGTCAGTACAGATGAACTGGGTACGCTTCGCAGGTCATCTTCATTTGACCTAGGCAATGGAGAGGAGCCTGATGTGTCCTGGGTTCAATCTCTTGTTAAAGAATCTCCAACTGATATCAAGGAAAAGCCAGCAGCACCTGGTGTTTCAACCAGTATGTCTGCAGGTGAGGGTTTGAATATGAATTCGCAAATTGATATTGATTCAGTAGATCATGCTGTGTTGGGAGCATGGCTTGAGCAAATCAAGCTTGATCAGCTTGTGGCTCAGCAAAACTGAAATCAGCATCACTGAGCCCCGAGTTAGAACAGAGAGGTTTTGGTAAATAACATATAACTTTTTGAAGTTTTTGGAATTTGGTTGGTTATGAATGTGTAGGTGGGGAAGTCAGTTACTAAGGGAAAATTCATTTTCATCATTTATTATTACAAAAGGAAAAGGTTAGAAAAAGTTGAGAAAAATCAACTGAGGGTGGATCATGAAGTTCTCAGCCGGGTAATGGTCCATATTTTGGGGATAGGAAAGAGGAAATTTTGTTTCTTCTAAGGTAGCTTGGAGTCAATAATTCTGAGGGTGGAGAAATTATGATCCTTTGATGTTGGTGTAACATTCATCTATACATTATTGCTATTGCTATTCTAATACCTTTATTTCATTGATACATAAAATGTATTCTTTCTTTACTTCTAGCTTTGTTTTCTTTATGTCTCTTTGATTTCATTATCTTAAATCTCTCAATGTCATTGGAATTTGGTGGGAATGGGATGGGAACATGTGATAGTGGTGGTGGATTCTATGTCCCTGTTGTGGGATTAGGGGATTAAGGAATGTGGATATGGGATGTGGGGTAAAAGAAGGAATTTGTAATGATTCTTCTATCTAGATAAGGAAGATCTGATGCTTTGGCTCAATATTTTTATTGCTTAGGACTGTGGATTCTACCTCAGGTGATGCGACTTTATGGTAATGACATTATTCTCATTTTGATCGTGGTCTTATTCCACTTACACATTCCACTTACACATAATTATCATCTAGTGTGAACTCCTTCCTAATCCCACTTGAAAACTATGATCATTATATATAATAATAATAAAAAACTGCATTTCGAACTGCAAAACTATAGCCATCAAGTGAGGGCCTTGCTAATTGTAAGGGCAGATTTTCGCATACAATGGCTGTGATTTTGATGCAGTCACTCTAATTTTGTAATAAATCTTGTTTTTTATAGTTTAAATTATATTAGATTATAAAATAAGAATTTTTGGAATGGGAGAGGTTCTTTAATGTCAGGGAGTCTACTCTCATCCAATGGTTATGTTCCAAATTGCACAATATTTTTTCTTGATATAATCTAGAATAATATATTACTACTAGTTTCAATCTTAGGTTTCCTATTGGAAGATCAAAAGAAATTCATGGAGACAATCTTTTCATTTTGTTGGGATTGTTAATGAGCGTGTAAAGGTAATGTTAGGCAGAATTTATTTCCTTTTGGTGTATCAGTTTGATCATTGATAGGTACTTCAAGGGTTGAAAATGCAGCAAAAGTGAAAAAGAAGGGTTCTTTAGAAGCATTTTGGAGCTAAAGGTAGCAAAGTGCCCTAGATATTAGTATTTTTGTGTACCGATGGTCAAGCTTTTGTTGGTTGTTAAAAAGGATAGATCTAGACTCTCAAGAAAACTAGACTCATTAGAGAAGAAAGTTGATCGTTAATTGGTTTGCTTTCCACTAGAACGATGTAGAATTATGGAAAGGTGATGCTACCTTTTCATATTCTCTCTTGATTTTTTTTTTTTGACAAAATACTCAAATCTATTCTCAAAGTATAGTGACAGGAATAGATTCACTCCTAAACAAAAAACGAGAACAAATTTACTTACAAAATTTTCGATTTGGATAAATTATTTCAAATTTAATATGTGACATCATCTGACGT